TATATGCTCTTTGGTTTCATTATTAGGACGACAGGAAAGAAACAGGACTACAGCTAGTGAAGTTACAACCTCACTATACAGTATGAAATAGGCATTTGAACATAACTTACAATTTATAATGGAAAACCAACTGTATTATATTATGGCTTTCAAAATCAGAAGAACTGGCTTTTAAAGTTTTTTTCTATTATTTTATAGTGTGAAGGCCAAAACCTTATATTAGAATTAAACACACACACATACACAATTAATGTGATACATCTTGGGCACAAACCACTCCGAAATCCCCAGAGAACCTTTAAATAAATGACAAATCTAAAACCCTAAAATTATTCACATAGTACCCCAACAAACAGCATGTATCAATAAACTCATGACAGGCAAACAAATCCCATCCACAACAGCGACTTTGAAAAGGCAGAAATGCTAGTTACTGGCATCACCTGAGGGTACTGTTACCAAATGATTAGCACAGTCAGTGATCACAGTGTGACACTCCACTCGGTTGTATTTACAGGGTAAAAGAGAAAGAAGGCAGAGAGAATTTATCTGCCAGCTCCTCCTGGTTCCCTTCCTAATATTCAGGTATAAAAAGAGCAAGCTCCTTTAATACCCTTTTTTGCTACGGATACGGCTCTGTTTTAACGTTCAAGAAACACATGCTTAAGAAAGGAAGTCACTGACTTGAAGACCAACTGAAATTTATTTTAGTAAATAGAAACTTCTAGCTTGTATTTAAATGTTTTAACTAAAACAAAAGTATACTATTATTCTAAGGGTCCAGTGTTCCACCACTAACAAGTAACAATCATCAATTTATAATCAATGTTGTAAGTTAGTGTTAAATGATCAAAATCAATTTTTATTTAAAAATTACTGCCCTTAATAGTTTCATACACATGAAATAAGTTCCATTTTATTTGTACTAATTCCATTAGCTTTTTTCAGCTTGGTGTTCCATAATTTTAGATCTATACCAATAATATACCCAGGTGATACTGATGCTGACAGCACAGGACACTACTTTGAGAACCACTGGTCCAGCTTTTGAGTACTTCTAATGTTTTTTGAGGACAGAGCTCATTTGCATTTAGAAATTCTCATATAGAACATTAAATGTGGAACCAGAAACTTCCATTTCTTAATTTTTCCATCTAGGAAAACACAGAAAAATTCTATTTCTTCCTATACATGGTAGTCACTCAAATATTTGGGGAAAAAAAAAAACCAAAAAACTCCCTCTCTGTAAACTTATCTTTTCCAAAATGAATATTATCAATTTCTTTGATTGCATCCCACTCTCCACAGCACTCAGGCCTTTCATCATTCTAGATGCCTCCCTATGAACACTATAGTTCATAATGTCCCGCTTAATATGTGGCACTTAACAATTTAACACAATTATATTAAAGTTTTAGACGGAATGTCAGAGTGCATGCCTGCTACTCAGTATTAGTTCCATAACCACATTAGGTCTTTCAGCAACCATACCATAGCGCTTCCCAACTGCCAGTCTATGGACTAATACCACTCTTTGATGAAGTTTTCATTGATCCAGAGTAAATGAAAATAGAAGAGTATAGTAATTTTTCCATCAACTTGAAGTTGTTCAAGTTAAATAATTCTTTTTTATTCTGAGTTTATGTCCTTCCTAAATATTGAGCGTTGGGGTTAGGGGGCTAAATATTAAGGGACAATGATGGAAGATGGTAGTTATTTTTCCAAAGTCTTTACATGGAAAAAGAGAGTCTCACATTTCACAGTCTCTCTTAAATTACTGGTCTATGTCCCAGAATACTCAAGTACAAAGGTTCATCTCATCCATCCTCTAGTACCGTCTAGGTAGCCAAGTGCTTAGAATAATTCCTATAATTTGCAACAACTAATCACAACCTCATCAACTCTTCTGATTAATTTACAGCAGCAAAGCAAACCTCCCAGTGGGCTTCAGCAAATAAAAGGGCTTCAAAGTGCTTTAACACTAGTTCCTAAGACTTCCTCGTTTTCTTTACCCACTTCCCACTTCCCTTTATAATTCTAAATAACACTCAAACCCAGTCAAGTACACTACATCAAAATAAGAGAGGCTTAGGAAGGTAGAAACTTACAATCATTTTTTGCAGTCTAAATAGCTAGCCAATAATTTGAACTATAAGTAAACTAGACCATCTAGGACAGGGGACAGCAAACTCTGGCCCAAGGACCAAATCCAGCTGTCTTTCTGTATAAACAGAGTTTGACTGAAACAGAGCCACACCGACTCATGGACACATTGCCCATGCCTGCTTTTGTGCTACAACAGCAAAGATGAATAGTTGGGACAGAGACCATACGGCCTGCAAAACCCAAAATATTTAGTATCTGGTCTTTCACACAAAACATTTGCCAACCTCTTATCTAGAGCAATGAACTATTTACTACCAAAGAAAACTTTGTGACCTGCAACAATAATCAGTGACTAACTCAGGACATACCATCCATACTGGAGTGTCTAAATATGAACACTGGAATATCCGAATAGTCCTTTATCCTACTCTGTATGAAGATTTGTTGCCCACCCAAGACAAAGTATTCACTTACCTGCTCACTGAGCTAATCTTTAACATACATTTCTCAAGGACTCACTAGCAGAATAGTGAAGAATCCATGAATATACTGCCTGTGCAATCTACGGTTAAAAAAAAGTTGCTGCAAGTAACTCAAATGCATGTAATAAAGAAGAAACTGTACAGAACCACATAATAATTTCCTTTACATTTTAGATTTCAAATACAAAACACTTCTAAGGCACTTAAAGTAGAAAAGCTTAAGTTCAACAATTTAGGTAATATTAACTGCATTAAATAATGCAAATTAATTTCCCTTTTGTGTTAAAAAAAGATTTTCGTTTTTATGTATGTAGAGTTGAAATCAAGATAAAACTTCTAATTTAATCATGTAGCTTTTTAACATTCTAGAATGTGCTTAAAAGATCATTTCCACATTTTACAGATGAGAATGTCTCGATAAAACATGAAATATTTATGTAAGAGAACTAATTAGTGGCACAGACAGAACTATAACTCAGTACTCAACTATCAGTTTGGAACTCTTTCTACTCCATGATTGAGTATGAAAGATATGCTCATATTCTAGGAAAGGGTGGAGTGATGTTGAAATATTCTAGACTTTTAAATGTACAATAAACATATTCACAGGGGTATAGTCCACTCAACCCAAGCAACCCTCTTGTGTTTTTTATTAATCAATCAACTATAAAATCACAGAAGGAAAAAACCTGATTCATGGTAAAGCCACTCTTATCAGAATGATTAAAAAGAACAACCAATTATATGCTTAACAAATTGTCAAAAATTAAAATAAATAATAATCAGTAGTGGAGAAGGGGCAGTATGATGGGTACTCACGTATTGCTAATTTGGTACAAACCTTCTGAAGGGTAATTTGGCCATATTTGAAAATGCCTAAAAAGTTCTCATCATCTAAAGCAATTATCCCACTCCCAGGAATATACCCTAAAGAATTAGTCTATTATAGAGTTCGAATTTTACAATTTCACAAAGATGTCCATCCCACTATTATTTATAATTGTGAAATATTAGAAACAATCTAATATCCAAAGGAAGAACTGGTTCCATCATGGTGTATATATTCATACAATAAAATATCAGGCAGCCATTTTTTAAAAATTACATTTTCAAAGACATGGGGAAGTACTTAGGAAGTTATAAAAAGTAGGGTATACAACTATATAGTCAGTATAATCTCAATTTGTTATTATGCACACACACAAACACATATACACACTCATACATATAAATAGCATAGACAAAGACTGAGAGGAAATACAAAAAATATTAACAGTGTTATCTCTGGATAGTGAAATTGCAGATAAGTTTTTTCTCTTCTTTATCCTTTTCAGTATTTTCTAAATTTTCTATAATAATCATGTATCAGTTTTATACTCAGAAAATAATAAAAATTCACTCTGTAGTCAATTTTGAAATTTTTATAGTCTACATAATAAATAAGGAATAAATATTTATAGTACTCAAAAGTATACCTAAGTGATGGGAAATAAATCATTAATATGTAAGAGTATAATTTCCACACATGTATAGGTGGATAATTTTGAATCCAAAAGATAACATTATTTTTTCTCAATTCTTGAGTATAGAAAGCTGATATTTAGTAAATAAGAAACGCAAATCTTTAAATAAAATTGGTGCAAGGCATCTAAAAATTGTGCTATTCCGGCATAACACTGAAGATACAAATGTTCTCCAATGTAATGTAGATACCCAGTGTTAGATTGAAATAGGTAAATCTAGTTACATGCATGGTGGCCAATAATTAACTAATCAAATTATTTATATATATATTTCCCCTCCTCCAAGTGACTAGAAATGGTCTATGCTAAAAAAAGAAATACAACACCATACCATTATTTTAGTTGGAAGAGCCGCACCAAAAATCATGACAAAAAATTTGTAGAACTATAAGAAAATCCAGTGGTTTTTTGTTTTTGTTACTGTTAATGATTTCTTGCTAAAAATTCAAGTAAGAGAGTCAAATTGCTTAAAGCACTAAGAAAGCATAGCAGTAGTGTATGGTCTGCAATGATTTGAAAATCACTAAGAACACTCTTCAACGTTTCCTCATTTGCAGACTACTGCCTATCAAACACGATCTTTGAAGGAAAGGACTACATCTGTTCTTTTACCAATCTTGAATTTATATTCTATTATAATATAGTAATGACACAAAGTGATGTCACACACAAAAAGGCAAACTGTATGTAATTTTAAAAGCTAACTTTAAAATATGATTCTAATATCTGTGATAAAAAATCACATAAATATGTAAAATATAAAATACATCCTAACATATTTTTTACATGAGCTGAAGTTTACCACTTTTAACATAAAAATTCTGAGATGGAATTAATAAAAAAAAAAATTTTCATATGTACCACAGAGCAATAAGTTTAAATCAGACTATTTTGAGTTGTGTAGCCCTTTATTAGCAACTAAAATAGAAGGTATCTGTTGTACAACACGGGTAGTAATTGACTATAACTGGAGATTTATTATATTCTAATACAGATCATTTATAAATGCAATTTCTTTATTAAAAAGCTTCCACCCTTTTTTTGTTTGTTTGTGTACAATTTGCAAAACTATTCTGAAAGCGGAATATATGTGCACAAGTCTGCAAAGAGTGCAAATTTAGGATATGGTAAATGCTTTACAAGTTACTTTCAAAACACTGTCTGCCACAATTGGGCCTTTACATTGCCATCTTTTTTGATCAAAATATTTTGATGCCAGCCTTCCTTCCACTGCCCAAAACTATAAAGCATTTTTTAATGAGTTGAAATTAAGGAAGGACTACACCTACTAGAAAAGAAGAGAAGAAAGTTCTATTAGTTTGAGGTTTCAGAATCCCCCCAAACCAGGACCAGTATCTTGGTAAGGGCTAGGCTGGGACCCCAGACAGAGAATGAGTATGTGCAGGTGGCATCCCTGAGGATTCAGAGCTTCAGTGGACCGTGAGTGCTCCCGCTGCATAACTCACTGAACTGTCTTGCCAGTTTCTACACTGGCTTGACTGGGCATAATTCAAAAAGGAAAAGCTCATATTCATTCCATTCTTCTGGAGCTCTGTGATAGCCTAGGGGAAAAAAAAAATTGGTTACAACAGACCTCATAAAAAGTGAACACGCTTTGTGTTGGTGGCTTAACTTTGTCCACCTCACAGCTGAAGCCTAGATTTTTTACTCTTCTCTTGATTTGTTTCTTGAACTTCTTATTGCATCATATTAAACGGGAAAAAGATAATTCCTTACTTCATTCTCTCAAAGAATGTCCCCTAATCTAACTTCTTGATAAATATCAGTCATCTCCCACCACACCCTTCTTTTTTTTTTTTATTGAGAGAGATAGTGATAGAGAGCATGAGAGGGGGAGAGTCAGAGGGAGAAGCAGACTCCCCGCCGAGCAGGGAGCCCGATGCGGGACTCGATCCAGGGACTCCAGGATCATGACCTGAGCCGAAGGCAGTCGCTTAAACAACTGAGCCACCCAGGCGCCCCCACCACACCCTTCTTATATTTAATAAAGCCACCGCAAGAAACATATACTTTTCTCTCTTTTCATTAAACCAAATCCTAGCCCTTCTGTCATGAAATCCTGGTCTCTTCTTTGTCTAACTTTGACTAAATTTGAAATATATATAAATTAATTTCCAGATCTAAGAGGTAAACCACAGTTTTTATTTTAATTGTGGATTGGTTCACCATTTATTTTATTAAAATTTTATTTGATCCAATTCAGACTTTAGGAAATTAGTATAGCTTACCTAGTTTAAATTTCAAGAATTAGTTTAAGCCCTTAACAGGCTTTTCTTCCAGTCAATACTGCTTAAAACCATTCCTAAAAATCCACAATGTACTATCTTTCAAATTACACTAAACTAACACTGTAGGGTAGGTTCCTGCCCTGAACTCTTCTAGACTAACATTACCTTCTCCATTATTTCTCTGCCTCTCCAAACAATGAACACATTATTGCTCCCTCCTCCCATTCCTGAGTATACATACACTTCTTCTTTATGAAAAAGTCTCACAGTTTCTTTCTGGAAAGCCACATTGTTTTATTTATTAGAGGAAAAATTAATATTATTATCTCTTTCAAAAATCCAGCTACCCAAAACTTCTGCCTCTTACTATTATTTACATGAAATATTGTTTTTGTTGTAAAGAGAAAAACATATACATGCCATCTGTCTCATGTTACTAAATTATGAATATCTGAAGTTTAAGAACAGAATCTTCCATTTATTTTTTATAGAGTCTAGAACATTAAATAAAACCAAAAAATCAATAAGGCTACTTATTACCAAGGGTTACTTTGATTTATATTTGTAAAGAACATATCGGAACTGGTTGCGAGTCAAGAGAAAAACTAGGTTTCTATTCTAAATATTTTTTTCTGTATTTAAAAGAAAGTATTGGCCTGTCTTCCAGTAACAACTTTATTCATGTTAGCAAAATAATGGAAAGCCAAATTATCTTAAAGGTACTAGAAAGAAAATTTACCTAAAACCAATGCTCATTAATAAGGTATCACAGATGATGACAATTAAGATATTTTGAAACATCACAGGATCAAATGTTAAAAACCCAGCTTCCTAAGGATACTCACATTTAATAACACCCCAATGGGATGTCTTCCACATATAGTATTATGGTATTTCTTCAAGTAATTGCTAAAAGATACAGGGTCTAGTTGTTCTATAATACTCATACCCTAAAAAAAGAAGAGAAAAAGAAAATGAAAGAAAAAGAAAAAGGTACACAATTTATTATTTCCTAATTACATTTTAAAACCGTTACTTAAACATCATAATTTTTCAATTAAGGAGAAGTAAAGAGAATAAATTAAATAATCCTTGGGAAATATCAAACTCATTCATCAAAGGTAATCTCATTACAGTCAACTCTCAACAATATGTACACTTCATTAACAGAAAACTTTCAGTCCTGTTTAGTTCTTTCTGACCTCCTGCTATTTTTCCACACCACCATCACCAGTTACCACTTAGCTCACAACCCTTAAACATTTCACAATTTTACCTTTTTCTTATATAAATGTATTTACAAAAGTAAATCCATTGTAAAAATTAAATTTGCTATATGGCTGTTTTTTTCTCATAACCATCATATTCCTCCTACCATTGGCATAAATAATTAAGAGTTTACTGTAATTTAGCCAATTTCATAACATACACTTAAATATCAACAATGTGCAAGGCATTTGAATTACCAGTATGTGATAAAAAGAAGATACCACTAAGAAAAAGGTTAACATTTTTAATTAACTTAAAGCTCATAAAAGATAAATGCTCAAGCAAAATAGGCCTTTTATGAACTTTTTAAAGAAAGTATTGGCCTGTCTTCCACTGACAAATAACTTTATTCATGTAAGCAAAATAATGGAACGCCAAATTATCTTAAAGGCTTTTTATCTCTTGGGGTGCTTGGGTGGCTGAGTCAGCTGAGCATCCAACTCTTGGTTTTGGCTCAGGTCATGATCTCAGAGTCCTGGAATTGAGCCTGGCTGAGGGTTCTGAACTCAGCAGGAAGTCTGCTTGAGATCCTCTCCCTCTGTCCCTCCCCACCTCCCTCCCCATACCGCTCATTCTCTCTCTCAAATAAATAAATCTTAGGGCGCCTGGGTGGCTCAGATGGTTAAGCGTCTGCCTTCGGCTCAGGTCATGATCCCAGGGTCCTGGGATCGAGTCCCGCATCGGGCTCCCTGCTCACCGGGGAGCCTGCTTCTCCCTCTGCCTCTCTCTCTGTGTCTCTCATGAATAAATAAAAATAAAATCTTAAAAAAAAAAAAAATGTTCAAATAAATAAATCTTAAAAAAAAAAAAAAGCTTTTTATCTCTTTATACTTCCAACTAGAATGCTTTATTTCTAAGATTTTAATCCAGGATCAAAAAATTTTAAGACTACTATTAAAACAACCACTCTGATTTGGACATTTATTCACACTAAATTCCATACCCTGCAAATGCATTCAAATAATGTGTTCATAATACAAGAATATAGAGCAACTTTAATCAAGCAAATAAATGAATGATTCTCACTCATTCATTCACCAATTACCTTACCTTGTTTTCCTATTCGGGTAAAATATTTTACATTTGTGTTCAACAAATTGGTTTAACATACTCTGAGAGAAATGTAAATGGTGGTTTAACTAGGGAATCAACTGATCTATTTTGTGTGGTTTTTAAATTATATTTCAACATGTTTTAAAACAACTGCAGTGGAAAAGCACCTAGAGTAATCAGATGAACGCTCATCTGAAAAATGATAGTAATCAGTAGGTGACATAAAAATACCACAGTGGCAGCATCAAAATTTAATTTTATAAAGAACCTGTTTTCAGAGCATTCAAGTCGTTCATAAACATCATCACACTTTCCTGCAAATACATCTGAAAGATAGGTATGTGCATGTAATCAACTTCCAATTGACTGCACATCAATTAGCCACTCTCAGACTTGTCCACAACCAGTGTTTAATGCTAAGCTGTTTTCCCCTGCAAACTAGGAGGCTTCCAGGTCAACAGTCTCCAGTGACATTTGGTGCAAATTCAGAGAAATATGAATAAACTTAAAAATTCAACCTAAGATAAACAATTAGTATCATAATTCTGGTTCAAAGAATATCACACAATATATTTCTAAACCAAGTAGTAATGCAGAGATTACAAATCTCTTCCACACACACGGATAGTCAAGAAATAACTCCCTAAAGATGAAGGAACTGAGGCATAAATAAGGTTAAAAGCTTGCCTCTAAATTTCTAATCTGAGGCTCTTTCTCACTCACTAGTCTGCTTCATGAAGCATAAGAGACATACTAACAATTCTTTAAACTCTCACAGCTATAATTGGTACACATATTTTAAGAGAACTTTCAATGTTCCTGGATAAAGTCTAGGACAGCTTACCTTAAATAGAACTCTACTCATTAATACATTATGTGACACTGAGGTTCTGATGTACGTGTTAATGTTAAAATCTTAAAGTACATTTTGAACAAACTTACCACATTCATATACGGACATGAAAAATTCAAAGACAGGAAAACTAATGATCAAATTTGTTGAAAACAAAGAATTCAAGAAATTTCATATAGAAAGATATAAAATAAAGCTATGAATGTAGAGAAGACACTACTAAATAAAGTGTTTGAAATTAAGATATAATGTTTAAATTACAAGAGGGAAAAGAAAAAACTGAGATGATGGAAGTGAAGGGGTTAAATTTAAATATTTAATTCCCTAAAGTGTGTTATGTACCTACTAGGGCAAGAATCAATTCCATCACAATCAATTCTCTGACAAAGATAGTGAACGAGTATGCATTTTTATAAAGAAGGGATATAGAGAAAAAATAAGGCTTTTCTCATGAGTGAAATTCTCCAATTGGAAAATTCATAGAGTATGCAAACAACAGCAATGATGACTGAGAAAGAGGGCATCTATTAAGTAATATAGAACACTGGCAAATATACTCTTGTATATATTTATATTTTGATGTTAACAATTTTTAAATTATAGTTACCAAAATTCCAAGAAGACTGAAAATGCTAATTTGATACTACTGCCAACTGCCAAAATTCCAAGAAGATGAAGCAACAAAGTGCTTCTCCAATATGCTTAGTTAACTCTTCTATTACTTAAAATATTGAAGATATGATCAGTGAATCTAAAGTCCAGGCGACGAAAATCTTACCTAGGGCCTAGCATATTGAGAATCTGTTCACATGACTTAAATCCAATATGAAGCAGTGAAGATCTAAGATACAAAGCAGATATCATACACACCAAAAGCTGATATCCATCATGATTTGGATTTCTGGGAAATTTAGGGGCTTCGGCAAGAAATCCTCAGATTGAAAGCTAACTCCCTACCTTGAGGGGTAACAAAGGCAGAGGGAATCTATCATTATGCTGACTCTCCAAGTAATGAGTGAAAGCTTGTAATGTTAAATCCCAAGTGGCAATCCTAAACTGAACAGACAGTTTTAACTGACAGAGCTGCAAATTCAGGGTTCTGATAAAACAACAAAGATCCTCCCTTTTAAAAAAAGTTTACATATAGGGGCACCTGGATGGCTCAGTTGGTGAAGCGTCTGCCTTCGGCTCAGGTCATGATCTCAGGGTCCTGAGATTGAGCCTGGCATGGGGCTCTCCTTCACTCAGTGGGAGTCTGTTTCTCCCTCTCACTCTCCCTCTATGCTCTCACTCTCTCAAATAAATAAATAAAATCTTAAAAAAAAATAATAAAGTTTATACATAATAAAATATTTAATTTAAATTTAACTTAATTTTAAATACTATCACCAGAAGCAATCTGCCTCTAAAGTAACAAACACAAAAAAGAAACAAAACTATTTGAGAGGACTTTAAGATAGAACTAGAACCATAGGTCTTTTTATTATAAACACTTAATTAATCACCGTATTATCAAGTCAGTAGGCCTCATTTTCTAAAGTAAGGATATATATTTATGTTGGAGAGATGGGTGTACATTTAGGTAGGCAAGTTGGGAAAAGGAAATATTCTGCTTTCTGTAAGAGGCATCAAAATAAAATATTACAGTGAAAGAAATTTTATGGGGAAAAAAAAATCACCCTAAAGACAGCAGTGCTAAGAAGCAATATACTAATAAGTAGGTATCTTAAAATTGATATTATAAAACCTTATACCAAAGACTACTAAAGAAACTATTGGCCTGAGTTCGAGAAAGAAGTATGAGTAGACAAATCTGAACAATTTCACTTTCAAAAGAGTTGAAAGAAAGAAAAGTAGCTGAAGTTCAAATTAAATGAAGTGACTACTAATAAATTTGGAAGGAAAATACATCATAAGGATGACTACAATGAGATTTTCAGATTCTCTTTGCCAAATCATAAACAATTTGGCAATGTCCATAATGAAACATTGGTCTATATCAAAAGCAGCACAGAAAAAAAAAACATGATTATGATATATATAAAATATATATGTATGTACTTATGTACGAGTAATGTTTCCAGTATGTAATATCAAAAGTTCACAAAAATGAATCTCTTGAAATATGTTCTATTTTGTAATTACTGAAATTACAAAGTTCTAATTACCAAAAGCATGATCAGCAGCCAATACTATTGTAACACTTTTAGAATCTCCTGTAACTAGTTACTTTTTTCCCACTTAAAACATTTGGAAGATCCAGTTTATTTTCCTATATATTTTTTCTTTACATATTTTTTTCACATAATTCAATTCCAAGATATTCAAATGCTAGAGATATAATTATTTTGCAATAAGAGGAACAGCTATTTTTATTTTGCTTTTGGAACACAGAAACACTTTTACTTATTTTAGTAACTATATTTAATAAGACTTTTCTGATAACAAAAAAAGAGCCAAAACTAATTAACACAGTAATTTTGAAAAGATTATACCTAAGATTTTATACTTAAATAATTTTTCATCCTATCAAACTTTCAAAATGTGTAACAATTACAATTCAGAACTGTTAACGTCTTTTAACACTTTATATAGAGAACTATCCAACTATATTTGCTCTGAAAATATTGCATGTAGAAACTAAGATACTGGTTCTCAAATGAATGAAATTTTTTATAACATAAAATGGCACTTTAGAAAAGGAATATACAGAGGGATATTCACCATTTGGTTATATAAATCAATTAAGAAAACACATTATATAAAGTTTAATAG